GCGTTTCACTCTGCCCTCCTTAACCACGACATACAACTATGTTGTCCCGGATTTGTAGAAATTTTGTAATTTATACAAAAAAATATCATATTAATTATGTAGCATTGTTTTGGGCTTAAATAATTTAAAAATATATACAATTACATTTTTAGACCCGCCGTTTAGCCTGGAATTAAATTTTTTATAAACGTGTCCTTCATTTTTAGTTTTGAATTCAACAATGTAATCATTTTTAATTTACTAATGCCATATTTCACATGATCGAATATACCAAAAAGTTCAACAGAAAATTTGATGATAGTTTTTAATATTATGAATGATAAAAAGATTTAAAAATAACTGCAACTGCTTTGATGTCTTATAGTTTAACATAAAATATTATATGAGGGTTAATATGCTGTTTTCTGACATTATTTATTTTTTTTTATTTTTGGACGTAAGTCGTTGTGAGCTTCCCAAATTCTATCGGCTCTTCTTACATATCCAATGTAATGATCAGAACCATAGCCTATGGCCCCTCGAAGTCTAAACCTACAAATAATAAATGGAATGTTAAATAGTATGTTCAGTTATGGGTTTTTAATTTTTATAATTTATTTAATTTTATTTTTTTATTAGTTCTTTGTTATAAAAATATCGTTGATATTGTGAACAATAATATCATAAATTATGATATTAATATTGTTATTATATTATTTGATATTATAGTTATTAGTTTATTAATTAATCATAAGATTATGATTCATAATAAATTAATTCAGGTTTAAACTTACATTTCTGAGTTAACACATATCTCCACAGGAAAGTCATCTAACGAAAACTGTTTTTCATCAGCAATACTATCAGCTTCAATAAATATATGGTTTTGTAGATACCTTATCGATGTTATTAAACCATCACAATTTTTATTCGGACATTCGTAATAAGTTTTGTCTGCGTACTGATTCAATGCATTTTGCAAAGTTGAAAATTCGTGTCTCGATCTTAATATTATTGTTGGACTAGAAGTATGTCTTTTTACAATCCATTTTCGATCACACAATATCCTCGATGCTGGAAGGATCATTCTTTATCAAATTGATTATAATAAACGAGACATTGCATCTTGCATCAATTACTTTTAAATTGGTAATTCCTTCGTCTTCATGGAATATTTTTCGAATAATTGAAACTCGAGAATTATACAAGCTTCGGCATGAACTTTTAATAGCTAACTGTTTTGAAAACTTTAGGAGTTCATTGGCATTACCATCAACAAAACATTTGTAACATGGTATATCTATGTATGTCATAGATAACATTTCAACGACTGAATCGAATGCGCAAGTATTATATACTATATATTTTTCTTTTCCTAAACGAACGGGGGTGGTTGTATTACCATTAAGAATTAAACTATTTAAGTTTGACCTTAAGTGTTTTAAACTTAACAATTGATCGATTTCCGGCATTGCCTTCATATACTTTGTTGGTCTTTTTTTGCAATTTTTTTTATAATTGGTTGGATTGCATATTTGTCTTTTCCTTGGCCGCGCCAGTTTTCTATCGCATTTAACGATGAATCAGAATCGTTTATATCACTTCGAGGATCACTGCATATAGAAGGTTCATTTTTAGGAGAAATTTGATATTTTCTTCCAGAATTTAAAGTACAAATGAAGCATTTTATATCGAAGAAGATTCAATGCTTTAGGTTTCTTTGTCACATCATCTATGGAAACATTAGCCGGAATGATGCCAATAAGGTTTTTAAATTTTGTTTGAAAATTGTGGCAGTCATGAAAGACAGTTAAGAATATGCTCGTTGGTGAAAGTTTTCCTTCAAGTTCTCTAGAAATTTCATATCAAACTTTTTCTGATATAGATATCATAAGACCGGATTCGTTAAATAAATCATACTTTCTCTTTTCAAGAGCGTTAAACACTATCCAAATCAACTAATGGTTTTCTTCCTCTCTTCGTTTATTGCTACAGTTAATAACAAATTTAAGTTCAAATAAGGACACGTAATTTTTTTAAAAAAAATTTAACATTCATGTAATTATACATCAAATTATAATTTAAAACCTTAATATGAAGAATATAAAACCTTATATTTTATAAAATTATTACTAAATTAGTAATTTATAACTAAAATATATATATTAATTTATATTACTAACATTAATTAACATAACATATATTTATATATTAGGTTAGGTATATTAGGTTTTATATTAGGTTATGCTTAATGTTATGCTAATGACCATAGCTGTCGAAGCAAAATATGTACGATTTCGAGACCAATAATAAAAAAAAAAGTTTCATGTATTAACAAATAATATTTTTAAATTACAACAAAATAACTTAAATGGTTATTCTTATTTTTAATATGTATTTTCGTTCAAATTTAAATTAAAATGTCTATAAAAAATAAATGTGATTAAATATTTTTTAGATGTTTTGGTTACTGTATGAACTATTTATGATAATGTTTGTTTTAAATTGTGAATTCTTTCCAATTCCAATATTTATCATAAGTTTTTCAACTTTTATTAAAAAAAAATAATTTCTAAAAGCAAGTTAAAATAAAATTTTAGAAGCGTTTGAAGTTCATATATTTACACTACTGGATATTCACTCAATTTCTCTTGTAACGATTTTCTTATTTTGTCGTAATTCAAAAATTAATTACTGTAGATGCATAAAAATTTAACTGAATGTTTATATTCTCATTTTCTATACACCTTACGATTTTAAAAATATTTTGAGTCGTTTTGAGCTATTTACTTAATTTTCGGTTTTCAATGTTTTTAGTTTTAGATTCTAAGGGGAGCGAGGAAGCTAGTGGTTTTACAACTGTGTTAATTTTTTCTTTTTTTTATATCCTGTATACAAAATTTCTACCAGAAGGAGTGCTTCGATTTAAACATATTATAGTATCTTATCTTTAAGCAAATTGGATCAAGACGGTACTTTAGAAGAGTCATTTTTGGATTTTCTCAATAGTTATTTAATACCATGCGAAAAACTACTGACAAATTGCGAAAAACCGCTTAAAATGGGATTTTAATTTCTAACGATTTGTTTATCACCATAGAAACGAATAAAAAATAATAACATTATAATATTAATTCAACTTACATGAAATAATAACTAATAACAATATAAAATATACAGACTGACAAACCATCTCCGCTCAGAATCGTTTTTCTTATACAATGATATTATATCATTGAATTCAAGTTTAGTACAATCCATTCAATCCATTTAATAATCCATTATACAATGAGCCACCTGTAACCTACTGTACAGCAGAGTGACATCCGCTTACCTTCTTTTTTGTCTATAATTGTGAATAAAATGTTGTTTGTTGTGTGAAAAACATTGAAAATTTAATCCAATGATCCTGATATATTGTTACTATTACAGTTGATAAATATTAGATCAAACCCAATGATCCCCCCCCCCCCGTAAATACGCCACTGCATCATTCCTTACATTTCTTGTAAAATATCAGACGTTGATATAATCTAATAGCAATTATCATCAATTCGTCATCTTACCAAGCTCGTCAACTTACCCGGGTCTCCCTAAACGTATAGGTAATATTTTAACAACTATTATAATGATTGTAATTAATTGATATTTGTTTGTTTATACAAATTCACTCGTCTTATTAAGTAATATTGAATTTAGTAATTCGTTTTGTGTATTTTAATTTGAAATGGTTTGAAAAGTTTTTTTTATCGAATTTTTATTTTTATTTCATCTAAATGAATGGGTTTTGGATTGCTTTGATTAAGTGTAATATTGAAATAAGAATAATTTACCATTATAACTTTAAAAATAATGTTGTAAATGACGATTTTATATAATATGCTCTGTTGTTTATACACCTTAAGTCGTGTATGATGAGCTTGACACCCAGCTTTCAGAAATGATTCATCAGATTTAATGTTAGTTTAAAAATAAAAGATGTATAATTATTTATTATAAATTATTGTAATTGTAATTGAATTTTTTCAAGTCTTATTTAGTTTATAAGGTCATAAAACCTGATATGTCACTATACAACCGGCGTCATTACAAACTATTTCTTCTATATAGTACCTATATTTTCTATTCGTTTTATTTCTGACAAAATCTGATCTGGGGTAATTATAAAAACATCTAATTTATTTGTTTGAACGTTTGAGATCATTCTTTGTAACCTCGTTACAAAAATATCTAATTCAAATATATTATTTTCAATTAGTGATATTAATCTTAAAACAATAATTGAATTTTTGTTTGCCTACTAATTCAATATTTATGTTGTTAATAGCTTTCTTTATACATTTATTAGAATATTTTCAATCTGTAACATTTTTTCAATGAGCATATTATGGGCATATTACTTGGGGGGAGTAGCTACCCAACCTTACGTTAAAACGTAAAAAACGCAACATAGTTACTAAAAATGTACTCATACTAAATGTATTATTTTATTCGTAATTTAAAGGAGTAATTAGGTAACAAATGTAAATCTGACCATCTGGTTAAAATGCATTATAATTTATGAATGATACAATAATATGAGAAAACATTAGCTTTTCTTAAGAAATAGGTCGAGAGAGGATCGAGCATTCCGTGATATAGTACCTACATAATTGACAATTTACACAACATAGCTGCTGATGCTTTCGACACTGGAGATCATGAAATAATAATGAGCCTCGTGGGCCTTGCCGAGGAGACGATCGGCGTGGCTACGGGTAGCCGCGAAATACACGCTCATAATTTAGATAAATGTTATTGTGATAGGGACCTTTTCCGTGATATAATCTTCCATTACTTCCGTATTCCAATACAATAATTTATCATTGATTTATGATCTTGTATTTTTATTGATATATTAATAAAAAAAAAAATACAATTTCATAATAGTTTAGGTGGTTATTATTTTTTTTTAATATTAGTCCAAAATTATATACCTATTAGTTAATTTGTTTGTACATTTTTATTTTGTTTTTGTACAGATGAATAAATTAATAAGACAATTTCTCCGATTTATTACTCGAGAAGATAAAGCAAATCAGGTAAACCATTTTTATACTTATTTTTGAATGATTTTCTTTTTGTTGTATCTTTAAGTATATACATTTTCATGAAGTGTTAATTTTCTGTATCTATATATTCGGGTATAATGTATTATATTCGAACTCCATGTAACTTATAACAACGTAAGCCCTGAGCCATAACAAATATGTAATGGTTTGATGGGTAGCTTAAGAGAACACCACACCTGGATGTAACTTGAGTAACATTGAAAATCTACTAACCAAATTCTTACTGCTCTCTATATATAGTTAATATTAGTTAAGGTATTTTAAGAGAGCTCTATATCTGGATGTAACCATGAAAATCTGCTTACTTTACTTAGTATAAACTAGGCTTGAGTAATTTTAGTATTTGACCGGTGCAAAAAGTATTGCCTTAATAATGTGTGTTTTTTTTTTAATTTAACACATACTTTACAAAGTGTTACGCCTCAGTCACAATGTACCTCAATCATTACATACTGTGCAGTATGGCTGTTACCGGCTTTCTCCTTTTTTTTATTATTTAGTTACCCATTCATTCATTTTTCTGGATTATTCGGACACTCTTAACTCATTTTAAAATAAAAAATATCATTATATAGTATACTTAATAAGGCTATATATACAATTTAGGTACCATACAACCAATGAAAAAAGAAAATTAACAGTAAAAAATCTAAATACATTAAAACGACTATGCATAGACTACAACAATGGAAAAAACAAAGGAAACTATCTTAAAAGCTAGTTTGTACTATATGAATTAAACTCAAATTTGTATAAGTAAAAAAAATATTAAAATTATTAATTAATTTTTGGTCTAACGTGAATTGACTGATAAGTATCATTTTTATCATCTAATCTATATACTATTCTATCTTGTTTTTTCGATTTACTATTCATTCTATGTCAGGAAATGCCTGTGGTGAATCATTTACTCAAGAAAAGTATAGGTGAAAAACTATATAAGAATAAGTCGTGTAATTTAAAAATATCCATGAATTTAGGGCTGATCATTTTTAATGTGTATTTTTATAATTATCAATGGATTACAATAATATAATAAATATAGTTTGTTCAAGAGCTTACTCTTGAACAAACTATACGTAGATGAAAAAAAATGAATACAAACGTTAATTTAACTAAAAATTAATTTAAATTTCGGTTTTATGACTTATCAGCAATTACTCTGTGTTCTATGATCCTATTTACATTTTTATATGTGGTGAGGTGTTGATCTTTTTATTCAAATAGTAAATCCACATACTTATCTGAATATTTGTATATTTCATCAGTGTTAAGTAAATGTAATGTCGTGTGATTGGATAAGGTTTCAATTATGTTGCAACAAATTTCAAAATTTATGAAAATTGTTTATTGAGAAGTATTATAGGTGATATGCAAAGTATAATATTTTATTAGAGATGTTACGAACAATAATATTTAAGGTCGAACCCAACCCAGTGCAACACGATTGCAGACTTTTTACCTTTTTACCTGATAAAAACATAACACGATTGCGGACTACAGTAAAACCTCGATAAGACGGAATCGCATGGGACCATGACATTTTTCCGTCTTGACGGGGTTTCCGTCTTGACGGGGATTAAAAAAGTTAATTTAATATAATTAAAGATTACATACATATTTATTTTAAACCAGTTGGTACATATTACATACAATTTATACTTATATTTATTATAATTTTATATTTATACTTATTCATTTATATTTATTCATTTATATTTATTTATTACATACATATTTATTGTACATTGATATTTTATTTTAATATTTTTTGAAAAAATCGGTTATTGATTTTTGCTTTTTATTTTGTAAGGCGACGCGTTCCACACACTCCTTGGCTCTCGAAGTCAAATCTAAAAGCTCACTATTAGACACTGTGAGGGAAAATTTTTGTAGTTCCTCGAGGTAGTAGATAGCAGTTTTGTAATCTTTTACCGTATTTTCTGGTTCTTCATATTGGTTTTCGTCGTTGTATTCGTCTTTTTCACATTCATTCTCAACCATGGATATAGCCGAATCATGGGTTTGCTGCGTCTCAAGTTCGTCATCAATGTGAAGAAGTTCTTCTTGGTCAAAATCAAGTTCAGCAAAGATATCTTGAATTTCAATCAGGGCATTCTCATTAGGATTCACATCCGATCCATCAATCAAGAATCCAGCTTTACGGAAACAATTTTGAACACATTCATTTTTCAAACTATTGCACGATAAAGAAATCCAATTTACAGCGTCTAAGACAGTTATCGAAGTAGCAAGCTGGTGAACAGAAGTAGAACTATCAATTTTGCACACAAGCGACTGTAGCATAAATTTACGATAGTACGACTTAAAGGTGTAAATAACTCCTTGGTCCATCGGTTGAGAAACCGAAGTGGTGTTTGGGGGTAGCATATGAATTTTCACGTTAGACAGTTCAATGTAAGGATGACATGTCGCATTGTCCAAAAATAATAAAATATTTCTGTTCTGTGATCGCATATCTGCATTGAAATATTGCAACCACTGTTCCATTATTTCGGCCGTCATCCAAGCCTTCTTATTAGATTTCCAAGTCACAGGTAATGAAGCAATATTCATATTCTTAAAACAACGAGGTTTCATTGATTTTCCTATAACAAGAGGCTTTCTGATTTCACCTGCCATGTTCCCACACATCAATACAGTTAACCTATCCTTAGATTTTTTACCACCAACACACGCATCGCCCTTTATTACTAAAGACTTGGTAGGGATCCCTCTGAAAAAAAGACCAGTTTCATCGGCATTATAAATGTCTTTAGCTTCATACCCTTTAATGAGAACTAAGAGTTTGCGTTTCCAATTTTCAACTGTATCTTGATCTACATCATTTGCTTCCCCATTGATTAGTTTGCAGACGATATTATGCCGTCGTTTGAACCGGTCAAGCCAACCGTTTGAAGCTTTAAAATCACTAATTCCGAGTTTTTCTGCCAATTTAGTGGCCTCAGTTTGTATAATAGGTCCAGAGATGGGCAAACTTTTCGACCGACAATTGATGAACCACCTGTATAAATCTCGTTCAACTTGTTCAAATCCCACCGACGCCACTCTTTTACTTTTACCAGAATTTTTACAACTCACCCACTGCTCCATTAGTTTGTCTTTATTTTTTATTGCCTCATAAACTAGCGTTTTTCCACACTTAAATTTCACCATGAGTTCCTTCACTGAAAGATTCTCATGTTGCTTTAACTCGATTAATTTTATTTTATCCGATAGCGTAAGAGTTGTTTTTTTCGACATTTTAAATGTAAACGATAGACGGAAAAACGCAGCGACACGAACGTAACGATATATGATTTGATACTGAACCAAGCAACTCAGATAATGTTGTATAGTGTATAGGTACGTATCAATTTTATTAGTTTTTAATGTCATCGTACGCGCTCGTATATCGATAATCTATGGGTAACGACAGTACGAAAATAAATTTATTACACGAAAATCGTGTTATATTTCCGTCTTAGCGAGGGTTTTCATCAACTTTCATTACAAAAACGTGTCCGTTTCCGGCTTGGCGAGGTTTCCGTCTTAGCGGGATAAAATTATATGCAATTTGAAACGGGACCAAAAAAATTTTCCGTAATACCGGGGTTTCCGTCTTACCGAAGTTCCGTTTTAGCGAGGTTTTACTGTA